TGGCCTCCCAAAGTGCTGCCCCAATCTTTTTTTTTTTTTGGTGTTAGTTTCTGGGTCTCTGTATTTTCCAATAGCAAGGAAACAAAAGTATGCTCACCCATATTATTTCTTTTTACCATTTAGAAATAAGAAAAATATCCAACATGCAGTTTTATCTATGTACAACAAATAAATGTAAAGCAATGCACATAATTATAATTATTATATGCACGGAAGAGTTTCGGTACATTTAATCCCCTGTCTAGCTAATATTTGGTAATGGCCCAACTTTAAAAAGTTAAGTTCAGGCACAGTGGCTTATGCCTGTAATCCCAGCACTTTGGGAGGCTGAGGCAGGTGGATCACTTGAGCCCAGGAGTTCGATACCAGCCTGGGCAACTTGGGAAAACCCATCTCTACCAAAAACTACAAAAAATTAGCCAGGTGTGGTGTTGCACACCTGTAGTCCCAGTTACTCAGGAGGCTGAGGTGGGAGAATCACCTGAGCCCCAGAGGTTGAGGCTGCAATGATCTGAGATTATGCCACTACACTCCAGCCTGGGCATCAGAGTAAGACCCTACCTCCAGAAGAAAAAAGAAAAAACGTTAAACTGCAAAATTAGTTTCTACATTTTATAAACTTTTTATTAAAAAAATTCAATAGCAGCTTCCTAGGAAAAATCAAACAATGTATGTTAGTTTTAATGAGATTCTCCCCTCCATGCTAGAAAATATGTATTTTAGTCATTAAGGAACTTACCCAGTGTCTCTATATATCTTCCTTCCCAAAAGAATTGAAAAGAAATAAATGGAAGATGCTCCATTTCCTCCAGGTAGGACCCGAAGAGTGCTGCATCTTTTGTAAAAGGCAGGGTGACCAACCATTTGCTCAGGGTTTTCAGGGTATAGCAGTGATAGTCTCATGTCCCCTGAAACACTGAGATTCGCAGCAACCACAGCAATTGGTCACCCTAATTCAGGTGGCTTCCCTAGTAAAGATTGTTACATCTTACTCTGTGAATGAAGAACCACTTTTTTTTTAAGCCTTGCAAGTATTCATTTTCATTTTATTCAGTTTCAGTCTTTCTTCCCCTTTATTTCTTCCCTGCCATTTTAGTTCTTGTACCCACTACCTGAGCTAGAGGCATGTCTTTCACTCTTGGTTATTTACAGTGCTGTGTTTTTAATTTTCTTGAAAGAGCTTATCCAGAAAGGGGACCTAATGTGCCTGATTTTTTGATGGTTTGTTTTGATTCCCCTCTTTACTACGTATTTACTTTGGCGGCCACACCATTTCTGCCTACCTCATCTAAGGAGACTATCCCAACATAGAAGGGCAGATGTGCTTGCCGTGGCTCTGCTTGGAAAACAGCTCAGTGTTGCCCTTCTCTTGGGCTGCACCAAGGGCATGATATCACTCAGTGGGTAACTGTTCACTGCCTGGGACTTCTGCTGTTTAAGAGCTCTCTGCATCCATAGGCCATGCCGCAAACCACATATTGCATAGTAAGGAGCTGTCTAGACTTGAACCTTTAAATTTATGAAAAATTGGCAAAGCTGGTTTGCATAATTCATTGGGTTGCTTCTTTTTGCATTTCTGGTATGATTTTAAAAAATTGTTTTCCCCTGATATTGAGTTTCTAGCACTCTGGTCTACTCAGCTGTGTTATTTCCTAAACAGCTAAAGAGGAAAATTGTCACAGATACACAGGCTGTGAAATTCTTCCTAGTTGAAAATAAGCCACATATGTCAGTATTCATTCAGAAGAAGAAATTTGCTTTTCTCTGTGCTTTTTGAAAACCTAAAAGCAGTTTCAAGTCATCTTCCAGCCTATATCTGTCTTTTAGCAGTGCAAAAGCAGTTTCCTAGAAATGACTGAGGCTTAAGCACACAACCATGTGCTGATATATACAGATTCTATCCATTCATTGGCAAAGAGAAGTGCTTTAAAATTACTTGTAATTAAATGTGCCACTAATTGTGTCTACGACAGTGACAATGTAACAAGTAGAACAGCCAAGTAGATATAAACCTCATTCAAGTAACATTCTGTCATTTGTGCTGCTTATCCTCCTTGGGCTTTGCAATCCTGACTGTGAATATCAGGACCCATCCAGCCCAGGTATCCTTGGAAGGCTCTTCAGTTTGGCACTTTGTGAAACAGCAGGAAAATGACTCGTTGAGACTAATCAAACCCACATTATAGAATTAGACCTAGGTAATCAAATTTTATGGTTCACATAAATCAAATGATATAAACAACCAACTCCAAATCACATGAAGTGTAAAACTTGCAGCACACTTTAGTCCGGAGTGGGCAAGAGAGTGGCCCTTTGTTCTGGTGCTGCCTCGTTTCCTCTTTCTTCCTCTGGTACCATCTGAGTCTGTGGATGTTCTTTGGGGTGTAGCTGTCCTTGTCTCACTCAAGTCAGCACCTCGATGCCGCTATTTACGTCAAAGCATCATGGACAGTTCTCAGTTTCTATATTTGTAACTGTTGAATGTTTACATGAGGGAGGGAGGGGCTTTTGATTGCAAGAGACAGGGAATTCCCCTGGGTTACTTGAGTGGAAAAGGGGTATTTATTGTAAGCATATATGCTGAACAGAAATTCTAGGAAGTAGCTACTTTCTCTGGCTTTCTCGGCCATATGGTCTCTTTCTTCCATTGTGTCTCTGCTTCTCTTTTTTTGTTTTATTCTTGTCCCTCTACAGATAACATTCTTTGGCTTACTCATAATTTCCCCTTCCACGTAAGTTCAGTTTTCACACATCTCTCCAAGCCTCCTTCTAAATCCAGAACTTTATGCTGCAGCTCCAAACGTTAACTGGCTCAATCTCTTTATTTTTTCTGAAAGTCCCAGTGTGACACAGATTATTTAATACTTGTCTCTCCCACCCCGTTTTATGCTTCTTGAGCATAAGATGTTGTCTGTTTTCCTTGCCACTGTATACCCATGGTGCCTAGAACAAAATAGGTACGGAGTACATATTTTATGAATGAATAAAATGTGCAAAAAAATCTGAAATCCACTAATAACTGTTCTTGGTTAGGGGAATTTTCTACATGACTTGAACTGGCTGAGTCTTCTCAAACATGAGTCCATTTGGAATGAAGTCATCTTATTCTTTTCTTAGTTCTGTTCCAAGAACCTCAAGTGGCTTTCCAATTTAAGGCCAAAATTTTCCATAAAAATTGATGTGATAAAACGTTTAAATAGTGAATGTTGGGACAGAGATTGTTTCCATGGTGACTTCTGCTTCAGGAATCTTGGTTCTAAGCACTGAAGAGAAGGACTGAGCTGAGACACCACTAACTTCACATCATCCAGTTGCCATTAACCTAAATCCAGCCAGCTTTATCAGTGCCGATGGCAGCGACCTTGTCTTTGATTCATTCCTGGGAGGTTCTTATTTTGGCAAAATGAGTTCATAAAAGGAGATGAAGGTGGTGGAAAAGGTATTTCAATCCTATTGCAAGTTGAGATGTGAGCCAGGTGTGGTGACTCACATCTGTAATCTCAGCACTTCAGGAGGCTTAGGCAGGATGATTCCTAGAGCCCAGGATTTTGAGGCCAGCCTGGGCAACATGAGATCTCATTTCTACAAAAAATTTTAAAAATTAGCTAGGCACAGTTGTGCACACCTGTGGTCCCAGCTACTCAAGAAGTGAGGTGGGAGGATGGCTAGACCCAGGTGTTCCAGGCTGCAGGGAGTTGTATTTGGTTCAGTGCTCTCTGGCCTGTGCCACAGAGCGAGACTCTGTCTCAAATAGAAAGAAAGAGAGAGAAAAAGAAAGAGAGAGAGAAGAAGGAAGGAAGGAAGGGAGGGAGGGAAGGAGGGAGGGAGGGAGGGAGGGAGGTGGGCTGGGCACGGTGGTTCAGGTCTCTAATCCCAGCACTTTGGGAGGCCGGGGTGAGCGGAGTTCAAGACCAGCCTGGCCAACGTGGAGAAACCCCATCTCTACTAAAAACACAAAATCTTAGTCAGGTGTGGTGGCAGGCGCCTGTAATCTGAGCTACTTGGAAAGCTGAGGCAGGAGAATCATTTGAACTTGGGAAGCAGAGGTTGCAGTGAGCCGAGATTGCACCATTGCATGCCAGCCTAGGCAACAAGAGGGAAATTACGTCTCAAAAAAAAAAAAGAAACAAACAAACAAAGTTGAGATGTGCTAACACTTCCCTGTCAAATGACTTTTCTCTTTGTGTGGTGCAAAGTTTTCTGACTTTCCCTCAGAAGAGTATATGAGTCTATGTCTGGGTTATATTCTGTCTGTGTTCCCAGCCACACTGCAATAATGGGGTGAAGGCGGAACAACTTCCTAAGTGCAGACCAGATGTTGAACAATGGTCTTACTGGCCAACATATGGACAGCAGATACTTCTTTTGTGACCCTCTGCTTTCCCCAATTAAACACTTCTTGTTCTTTTTTAACCATTTCTTGAAATGATCTTGTGGCAGCGGAAACCACTGCCATGTGGTTTTCTGTTATGAATCCTAAACTTTCTTTCCTTATTGTTTCATCATAAGGCAGATTATGTAAGTAAAACGTATTCCTTTCAACATAGTTACCTTGGGAGAAAAAATCTTTATTCCAATGACATGGTTATTGCCCAAAATATGTCTAGAATTCCCATCTCCATGCCACTAACTTGCTTCTCATATTCTGAAGCATGTAGAGTGCAGCTCTGTAAAAATATATGGCTGAGGATGTGAATACACATAGGTTTTCATTTTATTTGACCTATAACACATTTACACCTACCTCATCTTTTTCTTTCTAAATAATGAAAGATCCAAATACTGAATGAACACTCTTATTTTTATAGTAGTGTCCACATTTGTTCATGGATAACTGTGTAACTCTTCACTTGACCCTAACTTTAGAAACTGCCTATATAGCACCTCAAATTTGGTATTAATAGCTATTAAAAATGCTGTTATCTATGTTAAGTGGAATGTTAGGTTTCATTGCCTAAAACCTAAAATGGAAGTAAGGTGGATTTTCTTGTCCTCTACAGGAAATGTTTGATGTTATATTGGATGAAAATCAGCTTGAGGATGCGTGCGAACATCTAGGGGAGTACCTGGAGGCATACTGGCGTGCCACCCACACAACCGGGAGCACACCCATGACCCCACTGCTGGGAAGGAATTTGGGCTCCACGGCACTCTCACCATATCCCACCGCAATTTCTGGGTTACAGGTATTGTCACTTTGTCGCTCGTGCTTTTTACAATCTTATGTGTAAAATTCTTTGGGAACTTGATGAGAATGGAGACTTCAGTCATCCTTAATCTGAAGAGTGCACATTATATTTAAAAATCTTAAATATTATCTAATTAGGATCTATCCCAGAGAAAGCTACCCAGAGAGTGACCATTTCCTGAGAAACTTTGCTGTTAATTTCTAATGGATTTTACTTAGGTAAATTAACCTCACCTACATGTAAACTCTGCTGGGAAACTTAATGCCTATTCAGTGTACCTGCCCATTACTTTTTTTAAGAGACATAGTCTCGTTCTGTTGTCCAGGCTGGAATGCAGTGGTATGATTATAGCTCACTACAGCCATAAATTTCTGGACTCATGAGCTCATGCAATCCTGCTGCCTCAGCCTCCCAAATAGCTGACTACAGGCACACACTACGCACATGGATAATAATAATAATAAAAAATCTATGGAGACAATGTCTCACTTTGTTGCCCAAGATGGTCTCCAGCTCCTGGCTTCAAGCAATCTTCCCGCCTTGGGCTTCCAAAGTGTTGAGATTACAGTCATGAGCCACCACTGTTGGCCCCTCCATTACTTCTTAATGCTACTTCGTAAGGATTACACAATAGCTAAGTAAAATATATGGGTGCAGATAGGCCTTTCAACTGCCCTTAACTAATCCTGCCGCACCCAGGTTGCTAGGCCTGCTCTCTACCTTGCACAAGACAATGTGGATATAACTAGATCTGCTCTGTTCAGAAACAGTAACCGATTCCTGAGTTTTCTTGGAGTTTCGCAGGCGCTCACCTTTGTAAGTGGCTGTGGCATGTGTCCTTTAGGGATGCTGAGGACAAACACAGGATCAAGAGGTTCTCTCTTCTGCTGTTCTGGGGCTGCACTCAGAGGTAGAGATAGGGAGCCAGAGACCTCATGGTACAAGATGAGCCTTGTCTTTCTACATCAATTATTATTTGCCATTCATCAGGTAGCTGCTGGAATGTGGCCAAACCTGCAGCAAACTGAGGAACACATAGTCAATTGAGTCCTTTTGTATCATGATGAGTTTTGTTTTAATGGGTTATAATGATAGTCATAATTGTCGATCATATGGAGTTAACTCTGAGATAAATGGCACTCTCTGAAATGCTGTTATAGCTGTATTACTCTGTTACCAAATTGTGCCTTTGTAAGCAGAAAAACTGCCATACATATGAATAGGTTTTGAAACTAGAAATGAACATGAAAAATGTACTATGGTAATGTACAGCACATATAACATGCATTAGGACTATTTCATGCCTTGTTTCACTTCCTTGGGCTGATCTGAGTGTACATTACTATTGACTAGTTTGGATCAGCTCTGAATTGTATATTGTGGAATGAGAAATAGATGCATGAAGCAATATGCTTCTGTAACGTAGGTAGACATGCAATGTTGCACTCTTGTAATGAATACAACACTCTTGGCTCATCACTGCTAAGACATCCACCTAGAGTGGTTCTCCCTGTTTCACTAATGAGTTAATGTATTGCCCTTTATTCTGTGGCCTATTTCTTCTCAAGGTAACTATTGACACCATTGTTAGACATCTGCTTGAGGTTAAAGGCACAGTCTGTGACCTATCAAATGAACTTCCTTCTGCCTGAATCTGAATGTACTTTAGATGAGATGTGTCCGGGCTCATGGTTTCAGCAGTATCCTGTGCCTTAACTGATGTTACCCACCTAAACGGGTAGATACAATTAGATAAATGTTCTCTCATAGTGAAGAAAAATGTGGAATAACATTTTCTGAGCCATCAAATAAGTATCTTAAGATACTAATTTCGATTAATGATATTTGAGGAATTTAGTTTATATTGGAAGATTATTTTGCAGGACATTTTAGTTGAGGAAGCAATGTTTATAAATGTATCAATTAGCTGGCTTTATAATTATTGTATACACCCTTGGAAAGATTATTACATTTATATAGGATGCGGAAACAAACACTTTTTTTTTTTTTTTGAGATGGAATCTCACTCTGTTGCCCAGGCTGGAGTGCAATAGCGTGATTTCAGCTCACTGCAATCTCTGCCTCTCAGGTTCAAGCAATTCTCTGCCTCAGCCTTCCAAGTAGCTGGGATTACAGGTGCTCACCACCACACCTAGCTAATTTGTGTGTGTGTGTGTGTGTGTGTTTTTAATAGACACGGGGTTTCACCATCTTGACCAGCCTGGTCTTGAACTCCTAACCTTGTGATTCACCTGCCTCAGCCTCCCAAAGTGCTGGGATTAGTGGGTGTGAGCCACCGCACCCAGCCACAAACACTCATTTTATGAACAGTACAAATAATAATTTTATTAAAATTTTTTTAAAGGTATAAGGAGGCCGGGGGTGGTGGCTCACTCCTGTAATCCCAGCACTTTGGCAGGCCAAGGAGGGTGGATCATGAGATCAAGAGATCGAGACCATCTGGCCAATATGGTGAAACTCCGTCTCTACTAAAAAATACAAAAATTAGCTAGATGTGGTGGTGTGCACCTGTAGTCCCAGCTACTCAGAAGGCTGAGGCAAGAGAATTGCTTGAAACTGAGAGGCGGATATTGCAGTGAGCCAAGATTGAGCCACTGCACTTCAGCCTGGCACCTGTTGACAGAGCGAGACTCTGTCTCAAAAAAAAAAAAAAAAGGTATAAGGATATTCAGTTAGATCAAGGTGAGGTGTGTTACTTTAGAAAAAGAAAGATTATATGAATTCAAGAGATTTAAATAAAATAATAAATGCTATTCTGAAGTTTATTTCCCAATAGTAAAATAATTTTCATTTTTGCAATAGAAATGGAATTATTGGGCCTTCCTAAATATATTAGGTTTCCATTTAACAGTTAGCTTTCAATTCTGCATTTGCAATAGGTAGCACAGTCATTCAGCACTGTGGAATTAAATTCATAAACTGTCAACAACACTCTCTGGCATCTTTTCATGTTGTGTCCCAAATAAATAAAAGCAGATATTCTGAGCAGGCCATTGGTGCATCAGAATGCCTTATTAAGTCAGATATTAAGCATCTTATTGTACGGATCCTATTATTTTACATACATTTACATGTTTAGATGAATGAAGCTGACATTATTTAATCAATGAACTATCTGATATTTTTAGAGTCAGCGAATGAGGCACAGCAACCACTCCACAGAGAACTCTCCAATTGAAAGACGAAGTCTAATGACCTCTGATGAAAATTATCACAATGAAAGGGCTCGGAAGAGTAGGAACCGCTTGTCTTCCAGTTCCCAGCATAGCCGAGATCATTACCCTCTTGTGGAAGAAGATTACCCTGACTCATACCCGGACACTTACAAACCCCATAGGAACCGAGGATCACCCGGGGGATATAGCCATGACTCCCGACATAGGCTTTGAGTCCGATGAAACAAAAAATATTCACCTGTTGACAATTTGCCATAGCAGTTCTAGGATAAACCAGTCATCTTAACTTGGCTAACACGGCACAGTATTTACTGTGCTAATGGGCTGCTGTCATTTGATGCTAAGTAAGGGGCAAAAAAAAAAAAAAAAAAAAAAAAAATTACATTATGCCCTTGAGTCTAGATGGATATTAGATGCCCGATCATATAGATATTTTTAAGTGCAACATTTACATGATAACAGTACATTTTGTTTTCTTCATAGATTTAGACACATCAATTTGTAATTTAGGGTACTTAGAAGGCACATATAAAATAATTTCCCATGCTGGAAATTCCAAATGACCAGTTCCAGTTGGAACCAATTTATAAACCAATTCCTGTTGGAATTTGGGTAAATTGACTAGGAAGTCTGCTTGAGCATGTTGCAATGATTGAAAAATCTTGGGGAAAAAAAAAACCCTAATGATAAGAAAATCAAAATACCAATAGAAACCAAATCCAGCTTTGGTATTTATTTGCTGGGAGCTAAATTTACACTTAAAGTTGGAATGTATAAACATTTTAATATATGTTAATGTTGCCAGAATGACTTTTCAGACTTACCAAATGTATTGATAGTGCCAAAAAATCTCAGAAATCTTAATGCAGAAATTATATTGTCTCCTCAGATTTTAATATTTTTATTTCTTTCCTGGCACAGCTGTTGTATTCAAAGTGTTTTGCTTTTTGTTTAGTCAGTACTGTTAGCTTGTTTGAAGTTGGCAAAAACAAACAAGGAAAAAAACCTCAAAATTTTTTCAGCAGTGAGAGGGAACAGTAAAGAGAAGCCCAAACATAGCTGGTTATATGAAATATAAAATGGGGTGGTGTTCTCCCTTTAATTAATCTGATCACAACTGCATACATCCAGGAATCTGAAGTCAGATGGTAAGGATGTGGTACCAATCCTCCCGAGTGCAATGCTAAACACTTGCAAATGGGAATTCATCTATTCCACTTAACACAAATGCAGGGTCAGTATTTCCTGCCAACACGATTGAGTATCTTCCCATTGCTTCTCTCAGTCTCTGTCTTTGGATATCTGAATGTTCTGGCCCTTCAACAAATTCTTTAAATCATGCTAAAGATTTTTGTTTTACGTGGACACATTCAATTTTGATGTTCAAGAGGTGTTTTTTTTTTTTTTTTTTTTTTTACAAAGTGACTAATTGAAAAAAGTTAAAACAAATGATGATTTTAAAAGCTTGCAGCAAAAAACAAACTCATAGATTCAGAAAATATTTGTTGACTAAAATTATAGCATTTTTAATGCAGAAAATTATGAAGAATTTGGAGGTTGAGCCACCTTATTTCTAATGAACACTCCTCTTCATCTTATTAAGTCTTCACAGTTTTCCTGTGGCTATGATTATGGAATTGGTGACCTATGTTTTACATAGTAAGGAAGCCTTAGATTCTCTATGATCCAAGAAATTATTGAAATTGACCCTTTTTACACAAATGTCTTTGAAAAAAATAACTCTTGTTTCTAAAGGTCCACAATGCATGCATTTTCTAAAACCCCAATAAATCCAGGCATAAAAGTCCTTTTCTGCTAGTACATGTCATGAAGCCTATTTTTGAAAATAATGATAATTAATTTTATATTCTGTTTTCCCCAAGCTTGTCAATATTTAGGCACTCAAAGCATGCACCAGTTCAGTAATCTTCTTGACCATGGAAATAAGTTCCATATTATTGATTAGTTATACATATCTTGAACCCCATTACAACCTCACCACATGCCCTCTGCCTTTCTGTTCACTGTATGTACCCCATTATGAACCTGTTTAGCTGATAATGAGGATACCTATAATTCTGTAAGTCATTTCAAATATTTGATACAATTAAAAAATATGGGCTTAGTAAATTTTAAAAGTTAATATGTGATACTGGCTTGTGAGATTCTTCTGTCATCTAGTGAGGCTTATAAAACTTTCAGTTAAGACATTTTAAAAGAGTTATATCCATTAGGCACTTTAATAAACATATAACCTGCCATTACTGAATACTTTGTTAGAACACAGAAGAGCATCTTCCAGCAAACAAAAATATATTTATTACATGTACAGCACATACTTGCATGAGAAAGAAAACATTAGCCAAAACATTTTTCTATATGCTTTGCTGGTTTCTTGTTTGTGCGCATTAAAGTATTTAATTGCAAAGAGTGCACCAAGGTGTATAAATTTAGACTAGACAGCTGTTCAGCTTTTTCTGTAGTAGCATTAGCAATTTGGTCATTTAACTACTTTAAGATATTTACATTTTATGGCAGGTAGCTGTAACAGCATTTACATATATTTCCTAGTCATCAAGATTACCATCTTCTTTCAACTTTTTTAAAGTCACTTGTTTTTAAAGGCCTCTCAAAGCCTTGTTTCTAGTCTTCCATGTCATGCTGATAAAAGAGAGGCTCATTCAATATCTGTGCACAAAACCAATTTATTATTTACCATCAGATGTCCATACCTGTTTTGCTTTGCATTCTTATTCAAAAGCAAATAATCTTGGAAAAGGTATAATGTATATTTTATTGATGGATACATTTAAATGTTTACTTTAATTTGGCATATTCTTTCCCCTTCCTTCTGCAATAAGTTTATCTTCCTCAAATAAGGGATATACATCTTATTTTTTTTAAAGATTTAAGAGTTTATTGTGTAAATGATACTTAAAATCTAGATATATACTAAATGAAAAGTTTTATTTTTGCCAAGCACATCAAGCACCTTTGAAAAATACATATTCCATAAATACTTTGTTTTTAATTAATTTTATTTAAAGATAACAAAAAATATAAGCAGGAAAAGCAAGTCTTTTACTGTTTTGAAGCTGTTTTCCAGCATATGCCACATACTAGAATTCTGTAATTTCAGTTACAGACATATAACAATGTGGAGTCATGTAACAGTGTAGAAATGTAGTACTGGAAAAAAGGGAATGCAATTTGTCAATCCTGATGTTAACTCTCAAGGGTATAATGTGACTCTAATATTATAACCAACAACATTATCTTATTTAATATTTAAAGCAGCACTTAGAATTGTTTATAAATGATGATTCTCTCTTATCTTTATACAGTTCTATTGGAGAGAAGGTTGAAATTGTTAACAATTTAGACTGATGATCTTTCCTAATAAGAATCTTAATTTTGTGACTATATAAGTCATTGCAGTTAATCTTTAATGAAATGAATTTTACTAACGTGAAACAAATCCTGAGACAACTATTTGTTCCCTTTAAATAATTTGCTATTTAATTATTATTGTTGTTGTTTGCAAAATGTATTTTTGGAATGTTAACCTCTTTTCATACCTGCATACTTGAACTTGTCTTTTGTGTGGGGGCCTTAAAATTCATAATAGGAAGTGGAAGCAGTGAAAGGAAGTAAGGAAAGGAAATTATGCCAAAAGATGGTTTGCAAATTTAAACTCTTTAAATGAACATATCACAAAATGTTGTTTAGACCCAGGATGTCCATTAAGAATGTTTCTTGGCAACCTTAATTTGCATGTTAGTATATATTTTCTTAAACAGTTTTATTTTGGTATTTGCTTAAAAAATGTAATACCACTATAGAAATTACCCTATGTATGGATATATTTACTACCTCTTCTCTAGAGAAGACAATCTGTCTTTAAAGAGAAAAACACTTGTCAATAAGTAGTGATCAAATTTATTACTATTCTGGCTAACCTTGCTGCAAAGCTAAATGCATAGAGTGTTAAAATACGCCTTCCCTTTAGATTTTAAACTGTTTCCAAAATGCTCTTGGCACCCTTTTCGTTTCTTCCATGTTAGCACGGTTTTCTTGAACTGGTTTACAGTTTATCATGAGGCAAGGTTAATTTTACAGATAAGTCATCACAGGGAACACAAACCGCAAGGGGATTGCCTTTGTGTGCAACTTGTTATAATATCTAGCTGTAAGTCTAAAAGACAGTAGAGGTCCAGAGACTATGTTTAAGGGCAGCTGGTTTGCAAATTCACATTTTATTGGTCCTTGACTTATACAGAGACCCAGAGCATGACTTAGCCATTTACTGGGTAAGGATATGCATTATCTTGGACTCCCATGTAATTGGAATAAACTTCATATCAATGTTTCAAATAAATGCTATGTACCCCTTATTCCTTTTATATTTCTGCCTTTGTCTTTTATGACAATGTTGCATGTTGTTTTTTTTTAATTATATAAAACCCATTCTTGAATGACTATATGAATGAAAACTTTATAGGAAATTATGTAATAAAATCTGTTTTATTCATTTCTCATACCTTTAAATACTGTCAATACTGTAACTGTTCCTACATTACTTACTCAAGCTGTGTCTATGGGGCAGAGAACAGTCCTCTTCTTTAAAATGATAATCATGATCAAACCAGTCAAGTCAATTAGCTGTTAGACAATAAGGATGACCTTCTTTTTGACTTAAGCAGTCAAGTTAGTCAAAATAGTAAAATTGGCTTACATAGATACCCAGAACAATGGCATTCAAAAATTACTTTTAAAAGGTTTTTTCTTTTATTAAAATGGCCTTTCTTAAATGAAATACATCCTTTGATAGCAACTATCTCTTTTTACTTGTAGATCATTAATTCTAAATGCTTCATGTAATTGAGGGATATTATGAGAAGACTAGAAAGTATCTCATCAGATAATCCTAAGGGTTGTAACTTCTACTTGCCATAAACAAAGTATAATTAAGAGTGAGTAGCAACTGGTTTGGGGGAGTCATAGTTATAGTTTGTTTCTCATGATACACCATTTGCAGAAGGATGGTAGAAAATGTTACTGATGAATTTAGAGTGGTTTGGGAGAATATACTGATACTTCCTCATTTGAAAATTAGGAAGAGTGAAAAGGGGAACTAAGAACCAGTAGGGGCTGGCCTCTAGCTTTTCAATACTTCGTAAGTGTTCTTGGTTATGTTTTGAACACTTAAATTTCTCAACAAATGGCAATGTCTATATTTATGTAGGGGCCACTCTTACCCTATTTGCATGCCACTTTCACACACTTTTAACTGAAATCAGTGTGAATTCTGTATGCATAAGGGATGTATTAAAGATGCGGGATCGTTAACGCTATCTTGTTGCATACTATTTTTCATATGCCTTACAATATTTTCTGGGACGTTATTAAAATGAAAGCATTTTATTGCCAAAACAAATCTATGTTGTTACTTATAATCTGCATTAGCAGTAGAAAAATAATGTAGCAAAAACATATATTGTACAGTACAAAATTATAAAGTATATATTTTGCCAATATGAAAATAGATTGAGGAGAAAGAAGCACATTTGTTATAGCACAAACTTATAACAAAATCCACTGTTAAATCTGGCGGTCATATTTTTTAAAAGTATGTCCATTTAGTTCTAAGTTTTATCAGATTTACTTCATCTACCATCTTTTAAACTTGCTGCTTGATACTTTTCTGGGAATTTATTTCATAGCCTTGCAATCTGTGGATGTAATTTCTTTTGTTTTATTCCCTTCCACAAAACTTATTAAATTTTATTTTGTGATAACATTCATACTATATTTTCTCTTCTTATTTCTTCTCTTTCAATAACAACAACAGAAAGTCACAGCAGGTGAGCTCATAGGGCTCCTCTGAATTTTGGACATGTTTGAAATGTTCATATTTTTCACAGCCTCAAGTCAGAATGATGAATACAGATGTCCCAACAACAACAAAATTATATTAGGGATTCTTTCATTTGTTTTGTATGGAATACTACTTTGACACATAAGTTAAAGCCATTAGCTGTGTTTTTGAAGGGATGGTGGGAGAGAATAAAAATAAATATATTAACATAAAACATGCTAAATCAGAAATATGGCAAAATGATGTAAAACAATTTTTCCTACTATTCTGAGGGCTGTTGAAATCCCAGGCTATTGCTATATCTCCATTGACAAAGTGGCATCCAAAATGCCTTTGTCAAATAATTTTCTTTCTTTCTTTCTTTCTTTCTTTAAATTTTAGTTATTTATTTGAAGAACTTGTCCCCTTTTATTTTTCTGATATAGGTATGTGTAGCATTCTACAAGGCATGCTGGGTAAAATATACTATGCAAATGTGTACAGTGCTGCATGCTTTGTTCTCCCTCTGCTCTAGTGGCTTTAAAGAAAAAAAATGTGGTGTTATTTTTGTGAATAAAAACGTTTAACAAGAAAATGCAGAGTGCATGCATAGAGTATCCTAATTTCTATGGATTTGTTTTATGGAATTCAAATGTGTACAAGACAACTGCATTACTTTTTTTCTTTTATATAATAAATGAAAAAAAAACACTGAAATCAGCGTTATACCTCTCCTTTATATTATTCTAGAAATATATTGAAGAAATACTGGAAATCAATGGGTACTCTTTTAAGAAAAAAAGTAAGGCTAAATATTTATCCTAAAAAGAAAGATTCAACCAAATGACTATTTTCTGAATACTCTGCCAGGTGCTATGAGGTAATCACAAAATAAGTACTGTATTAGGAAAAAGTTTATAAGTTAAATATGTGTGTGAAATAAAACAGAATACATGTGCAAAATAGGATTGAATATAGAAAAAGATACTAGATGAAATATTACATTGTTCACAAGTCACCCACTCCAAAATGATTGTCATAATTATCTGATGTTTCCGAAGCTATCTTGTACTTGTAAGAATTCCATTGTATGTATTGGGAGTCAATTGTCCATGTTAAGACTTGATTGGAATTTGACTTTTCTTTCATTGCACTGTATAGGAGAGAAAAGAAATATGTACTGTGTTGATTACTATCACTGTATTAGGATTATACAGTGATTTATTAGAGTCAAGTTATTTCACAAACATTATCACATTTAATTCATCTGATCAGCCAGGAAAGCAGGCAGGACATGGATTATTAGCTACAAATACAAGTGAGGAAACAAGCCCATTGAAACTTCTCTCTCAAAAGAATTTTTCTTTAAAAATACATACTCATATGTTACATTTAATCTAGGTAATCATCTGACGCATACGAAACAGTGTCTGAAATACAATAAATGTTAACTGGATGAAGAGTAGGTCAGTTATTGGAGAGGTATTATATAAGTCTATCTCAACTATCAAAGTATTTCAGCCAACAGTCTGAAATGCATCCACCAGCCATATGCCTGAAGCTATTTCTCTTGTCATCAGCGCACTTCCAATAATAAAATGAACTAGGGAGAGAACCATTTTATTTGTATTTTCATACAACATGCAGATTAGCACAGTGGTTTGAGTGGGGATCTAACCCTTGTCTGAGTTCAAAGCCTAGATCCAGCAATAACTAGCCATGAGCTTAGGGCAATCACTTAGTGTCCCATGCCTGAGTATTTCTGTGGTTTTCTTTTGGTTATGGATCACATTTTCCTGTTTCCTGGCACATCCAGTGATTTTTTAATTGGATTTAGGACAATGTAAATTTTACATTGTTGATGACTTGATCTTGTATTCCTTTAAAGAATGTTGTACTTGTATTGGCAGGCAATTGTGAATTAGTTTCACCCTTTCAAGGTTTGGTTTTAAGCTCCTTTAGGACTGGTTTTGTATAGGGCTTATTCTTAGGCCATTTAGCTCCTTTTCTAAGGCTTCTGGGGTGTCGACTGAATGCCCTATGTTGAGTTATCCAACCTGCAGCACGTGGGCTGCATGCAGCCCAGGACAGCTTTTTCTTTCTTTCTTTCTTTCTTTTTTTTTTTTTAAGATAGAGTCTTACTCCAGTCGCCCAGGCTGGAGTGCAGTGGTGTGATCTTGGCTTAGTGCAACCTCCACCTCCTGGATTCAAGTGATTCTCCTGCCTCAGCCTTCTGAATAGCTGGGATTACAGGCGTGTGCCACCATGCCTGGCTAATTTTTGTAATTTTAATAGAGACAGGGTTTCGTCATGTTGGCCAGACTGGTCCTGAACTCTTGGCCTCAAGTGATCTGCCTGCATTGGCCTCCCAAAGTGCTGGGATTACAGGTGTGAGCCACCGCACCTGGCCTCAGGATGGTTTTGAATGTGGCCCAACACAAATTTGTAAACTTTCTTAAAACATTTTATTTTCGTGATTTTATTTATGTTTTTTAGCTCATCAGCTATCAGTGTTAGCCTATGTTATGTGTGGCCCAAGACAATTCTTCCAGTGTGGTCCAAGGAAGCTAAAAGATTGGACATCCCTGTCCTACATATTCAGTTCTCTTCACTCTGGCTGAAGGGAACTCAAATGACTCCTGACCCATGGTCATCTCTGGGAATCATTTGCATTACAGTTCCCTGGTACTTATTTTTCCTCAGGAATTGTGATTGGCCAGCCTCCTGGGAGTTCATACTACATGAGCACAAACTGATATGCAGCCAAAGACTCAATGGCCCCTTCACAGGTTTCTAGAACTTTTCTCTGTGTAGCTCCCTCCTTCCAGTTACTCTACTTCACAAATTCTAGCCACCTTGATCTCTGGGAATGCTGATCTGCGTCTTCAGTTCTAGGAGGTTCCCAGATTCTTATTTGGATTCCCACTTCCTTCTGATGTGACTGGGAATTGCTTTTATGCATGAAGTCCAAGAAATGGTAAGACTCCACCTGTTTGTTTCTCTGTTGTAGAGGATCACAGTCCTGTGATGTGTTTTTCAATATCTGAAATGTCATTGCCCGTACTTTGTTCAGTTTTCTATTTGCTAATAGTAGGAGGATATATTGAAACCATCCTACTTTCTTATGCCTGGAATCAGAATTCTCTCCAATGACATTTTGCACTTCTCTCTAATCACAGATAAATTGGTCTTTAACTGTCTCTTGATCTCTCTTTTTCTTTCTTCACTCAGAAAATAACCTGGGGGACCATTTCCTTAAGGTAGATTGTAAAATATGAAGCTCCAATGTCACAACTTAATATGTATGTGACATCCACTTCATAAGTTGACATCTGTGGGGGAGTCTGCAAAAGTCTTAGAGCTACCAAAGCATTACCTATGGCATGCAAGAATAGAAATATTAAAGAGTTAATGCAAATTGGTTATACAAACTATATTGTTTTTCTAAACAGCCTACAGGGTATTAAGCAAATCCAGACATGATAATCATAAATTAATATGGATTACTATGATTTTCCTTCCCTCATGTATGGCTTCTCTAAACTTTGGCTTTTTAACCATAAAGCCCCCAAAGAAGTAAAAAAAATTACTTTTCTATATATTGAGATAAGATAGTGTGTAGTTAGGAGAAGTGAGGTGGGAAGGTGCAGCTGATTGTTGATTTTGCTTCCTTTCATTCAGCTGTTGGGAATGGGAGTACAAAGCAGTTCAAATGGCTCCTACAACTCTCCCAATTTTTCTTTCTTTTCCCTTTTACTAAGGTTAAGGAGAACAGAAAGGGATGGAGCTTTAGTGCCCACTAAAAGTTTTTAAACAGGGGAATGACTTGATTAAAATCGTTGCTTTGGGCAACACTGACCTGAGAGTGAAGAGAGATTGGAGAGAAAAGAGCCCTGAAGTGCAGAAATGAGTTTAGGTAAGGCCACTGACTTCGATGAGTGTCAGAGGGCGGCAGGCTTTTCCCCCAAAGATCCTCTGGGGACACCATGTCTTAGACTGGAGGGTCAAGACGTGGAACTTTTGGTGTAGTGGATGTGAAGGGTTGGGGATGGACACTGGGTACGCAATTATATGTTTGCATTATGGCACAATGGAGGAAATTCGAGGGAAATATAAACACCCGGCGGGGACGCAACAGCGAGCAGTTGGAAGCCATCTGCCCCAACCTGCAGCCTGCACAACCTCCATCTCAGGGTAAGGTCCCACGCCTTCAGCTGTCTGCCTTTTGCAACTAAGAGAGGACTGGGCGGGCGCCGTTTCCCAGGCTCCGCCCCCTCTGGCCGCGCGCCTGCGCACTCTCGTCCCGCCAGGCCCGCCCCCTCACCTCCCCCGCCCGCGTGGTCGTCGCCGCCGCTGCCGCCCGAGAGGAGCTGGGGGAGGACGGTGGCCCGCGAGGCTCGTCGCAGACAACGCGGCGGCGATGTCCGCGAGCCAGGCGAGTGCCGCGGCGGCAGCGGCGGGGCCTCGCGCGCGGCAGGGCGGCCTGGGCTTCGGCCTCCCTCCGGTTCTCTGGAAGCGGGCCCGCGGCCAGCGCGGGAGCAGCAGCAGAGGCGGAGGCTCCAGCGCGTCTCTGTCCTCCCAGTCAGCCTGAGCCAAGGGAGGCCGGGCGGCCCAGGTGTCTGGAAGGGGGTCCGCTGCCCGAGAATGGGAATTCTCTTCACCAGAATATGGAGACTGTTCAATCACCAGGGTGAGGAGCTCGGTCCGCGGGCGTGCGGATTGGGGACAGGGTCAGCCCGGGCCGGCGGGGTGGGGGTCTCCGAATACTTCCGGAATGTGGGCGCCGGCCGGGCGCGGGGTGCAGGCTGCGCGGATGCGGGCCCGGGACCGTTCGATCCCCGAGCTGGGGGATCGTTCTTGACTCGCAGCCCTTTATCTTAGGGGACCTTCCTAAGAAGTCTTCCATCATACACCCATTGCTCCGATTTCTATTGAGAATGGAAAGGT